TTTAAGGTCAATCATACCGAGCTTCAGTGTTTACTGGTAAATGTCACATTTTGCTGTAATAAAATAGGTTGTGGTGAAAATACACTTTATTCACCTGCTATATGAACAACGGTATACTTATCGGGATGTCTATGTGTGTCTATTAGGGGGGGGGGCTTAGACGGAATATGGTTATGTTCGTGTCGGGGTCGCCGCATGAACAACCGGTACCGCGGTAATGTCATGTTGTTATAATTATATGTTGTCGGTTTTGTTTCGCTCTCTTCGTTAAATTGAGGTATCAATTTGGATGCCCCCTGCATACCTTTTTAGTTTAAAACCCTGGGCACAAACATTGCATAGAAAAACATGAAATCATCTGTATATGTACTCTCGTCTGAATTCTTTCATTTTTAATATTTTTCTGGCTTCCTTTCTATTTCTCTTCCGATCTGAATGAGTTTAATTTGACTCCCCTCTATTGTCCATTTTAAATCGATATAATTAAATTTAATCACCATCTGCACGAACTGGTTTATAATTCTGGATGTTACACGTTATAAGTACGCAACCGTCAATTTCTTTAAATCCCTTCACCATCTTATGGTTATCACGTAACATGTATTTCGAACACCATATAGCCCACTAAGTTAAATAGTGATACATTATATTTATAAAGCGCTTAATACCAATGTTTTTAAGCGCAAGAAAAAGAAGAAAGGTAAAGGAAGGAAGAGTGAGAGAAATATAAAACAAACAAACATATTAAAAATATTGAATTACAAGTAAACGGTAAAGAAGCATATGACATTAAACAAAATAATGACTGCATTAGTATTAAATAAAATTATAAATAAACCAGATATGGACTCAGAATATATGAAATATGCAAATGCAACTTACAATAACCTTGTGTATAAATTATTAGATTAAATATTATAATTATGCATATCAAAATACATATCATACAACATTATACAATAGAAATTACAAAATCAACATTGTCCTTACTTATAATCTGTTAGAGTGTATTGTACCTACCTACTGGCATAATTTTGCCCTTTTTGGCCCTTTCTTTATTCTTTACCTGATATCACATCTATTTAGATTAAATATTAATTTTGTGTAATGTCTATGACTGACCAATGTGATAATTTCTCTCCGTGGATATATGTTCTGACTGTTATACATTTTCTGCTTGCATGTTCATTTTATATTGGACTATTTCATATTATTGTATCTTTTATTGTGCATTTACATGTACTATACACATGTGTTGAATTGATCCCCATTATGTTTTAAATGAATATTCTGTGCATTGGAACGAATTTAGCAATCGACTGCATTCACAAATTGCCATGAATAAATAAATAAAACAAGTTGCAATTCAACATTATTTTGTCCACAGAGGTTGCCTTTTCTCGTCATTGTATTCATAATACATGTTCGAATCGAACTAATCAATAATTCAGTTTTAAGCAAAAGCACAAAGTAGAATTTCGCAGAATCTATCTCAACATCCTTGAGAAAAAAAAGTACTGCGAAATATCAAGCCAGTTCTTTAATGTGCTAACAACAAAAACTTATATTTTGGATCTACGCCCAAGCCTACCCAGAAAGTGTTAGTCAGAGAATGTAGGATATGTAGGGACAAAGAGATAGGGGAGAGTAAGATAGAAACGAGAGGGAGAAATTGTGCCAAGGGAGATCTAGATAAATGGAACTATGACCCCGTTCTCACTGACTTCCTAGACTGATCTAGGCTAGATCAGTCCAACTAAGTGTGAACAGACAACCGTCCAAGGAAGCTATCTTCTGGACCGATCCAGAAGATCACTTCGCGAACGGATGTGGTCTTCTAGACTTCTAGTGGGGGCAGAACCTCCGAGAGCTCAGGGGTTTTAGGCATCTAATTACAGTCAGATGAGCATCCAGGGGCCCGCCTTGGGAACCGTTGGTGGGGTCCAGGGGGGCAGAGCCCCCGGAATTTCAGGGGTTTTAAGCATTCAGATGACGGTCTGATGAACATCCAGGGGCGGAGCCCCCGCAAGATCAGGGTTTTTAAGCATTTAATTACGGTCAGATGTGCATATTTTGTTACCTTATATGTGACACTAGCAGGTCTTAAATTGGCGTGGGGTCAAAGGGCGGAGACCCCAGAGGCCGAGGGGTTTTAGGCATTATTAAATTAAGGTCAGATGAGCATCCAAGGGTCATCCTAAGGGCATTTGGTGTGGTCCATGGGGCAGAGCCCCCGGAAGCTCAGAGGTTTTAGGCATTTAATTACATTCAGATGAGCAATCAGTTTGGGGAGAGGGTTTGAGCCCCCCGAGCCCCACCGTTTCGTAGGCCCTGGCACTGACTATGTAGGCTTCTAAATAAGAATATTTTATGCCTGACTGTAAATTTGGGAATTTGTAATTTTTCAACAAACGCATACAAAAGTATAATTTACAAAGAAAAAAGATACACATCCCGGAAAATCATGGCGTTTCAGCAACATTTGTAAATCACTGGTACTGAATTAGAAATAAACCACATTTAAATTTTAGTAGGCGGCACCCCCCCCCCCCCCATTAGTACGCCAGTGACCATGGAAAAATCACGGCCGGGAGACTGGGCGGGCGGAATGTCATATCACAGTTTTGTGTTATTAGGCGAGGGAGCGTAGCGACCTAGTGAGATTTTGCAATTTTGAATTCTGAAATTATGCATTCTAGAAAACCCCAAAGCCAACATGTACATATTTTGAAGAATTACTATTATTATTACGAATACATTTGCTTATTATGCATTTAAGGTTATGACAAGTGTTGTATCGATATATGTTGTGCCCCCCCCCCCCCCTCCCCTCTGTTAGTCGATGCGAAGGTTAAAAATTGTCACGCTAAATTTTGGGGAAAATGGCATCATATAAAATCTAAAAGATACATGATACTTGTAACAAAATGTATAGAAATATGAATACAGAATGGACAAAATTAATATATTACTTTGAAATTTAAAAGTAATATTAGATAATTTGTGTGTACCATTATATGTGCGGATTTTCTGACGATCCCATTCCATGTATAGACGCCCAAAAGATTTTTAAATGGTTTCTATACAATCTATTTCTCAGCATTTGGACATTCTTGTATTGTTAACTTTTTTTTAAACAAGATGATTAAAGTAGCCTTTTCCAAGAGAAAGTTCTAATTTTGTACAGAATTAGGTCCTACAAAATATCATCTAAATTATTCATACCCTTACCAGGTTTTGAAAATTTTAAGTAATTGAAAATTTGATTTGTCCAAATATATATTTCTAGAGAGTATGACATATTAATGCTTACATCTAAAAGTATTCAACAAAGGCCGTAATTCAACCAGTCCACCTTTTATTCGTGTACGTAAGGAGAGAAAAAAAATCAAATTTACAAGGGGTATAAATAATTTAATTGTTAACTGTATGTGACAGATTTTCATTTCTATTCATAATTAACCATTGCTATTTTGACAATAACATATGAAACGTCTAACTATTCAACAGGGCATAAAAAGGGAAACTGAAATACCTTGTCAATGTCATGGTAAAATGTCAATATTTGTCAAGGTAGAGGGGCGGGGCTTTACCTGAGACCAGAGCCGTTGATTAGGAGAGTTTAGCCAAGCACAAAACAAAAAGAATAAATACGCCGTGTTGTGATCTATTGAAACCAAAATGGGCCAAATATGTGAATATATGGCTCTGGCTGAGACAAGAGCCAAGTTAGACACAAGGCGAACATAAATGTAGCTATGGGGTTATTGGATAAACATGGGACGTACACGACCCCTCCCCCAATCAAATGGTCAAAAGAAAGAAAAGGAATGAATTGGAATGAGAGAAAAGAGAGAAATAATAGTATCCTGAAAATGCAAAACGAAAAGAAGTGATACGATCCCCTTACCGTCACTAAAAGGACTATGCTCTCTTGCATCTCATTTTCCTAAACCCCCCCCCCCCCTCCCCCGATTGGCTGGACCCACACTACACTTCTGCTGGCGCATATCCCTTTGTTATGGGTTTGCCCAACAAAGCAACAGTTGCTGTGATGTGTCTTTGTGGGCCCCGTTTTATAGAAAGTTGATATTTATCGTAACTTATTTGCGACTGATATCAATCGCAACTATGTACATAAGATATAGGAGACTGTAAACGTGCGATTGATTTGAGGATTTTATAAGACCGGCCCTGGTATCCAGTTGGGGAAACTTTATGTAAAGATAGCTTTGGTTGAGACTGAATTTGTTAAAATGACTCTTTGAATTTTTATTTATTTATTTTTAAGTTGATGACGCCAAGATTAATTCAAAGGGCAATCGTTTTCTTTTCCTTAGTATATAAAGTTTTGGAAAGATTTATGTAGGTAATTTTGATATTGTAGGCTTAAATTATGACAGCGATGGATGACTGCCAAATTGAATTTTCTTGTTTTGTAGATAACTCTGTTTATTGAAAGAAGGATTGTTTCGACTTTCTTTCATTGTAGGTAAAGATGCAAATGTAAATATGAAATATTTGTCCTTAAAAGTACTTTTTGATGAGAATATATACAATCTTGTACATAAGATTTATTCGTTTATTTCTGCATGATTCGTTTATTTCTGCATGAATACTACATAATAATAACGACTCTTGTGTCATACTGAAGAAAAATAACATTGTTAACACTTGCCTTTGACTTTATTTTGTTTATGTTACAAAAGATCGATCCCCTCTCTCTCTCTCTCTCTCTCTCTCTCTCTCTCTCTTTCTCTCTCTCTCTCTCCTTCTCTCTTTCTCTCTCTCTCCTTCTCTCTTTCTCTCTCTCTCTCTCGCTCTCTCTTTTCTCTCTCTCTCTCTCTCTCTCTCTCTATATATATACATATTATATATATATATATATACTTATTATATATATATATATATCTCCCCCCCCCCTCTCTCTCTCTCTCTCTCTCAAGCTGAATATTTAAAAACAAAACTGATGCACGCATACTGAAGACAAACTTCTCAACTTTGCAGTTGTTATCATTTTTCAATTGATTTGCACATTAGAATTAGTATAAAAAAAGTAAAAAACATACAGGAATGGAGGTCATATAATGTGCTCGTGTCAATATCTATCATCGGATAAAAACATTCTCTGAAGCTGACTGAATCCAGGAAAAAACTATCCTCGAGTTTATATCAAATAGATTAATAGCATGATACAAAACAGAACAACAGATGTATACGTCTAAAAGACCGGTTCCAACTGGCTATTAAAATTCAGCATGTGTTTATCAAGACGAAACGTTGTTAATGAATATTTCCGACAGCTTTGCGAAAATGGGCGATTTCTTAGAGAAATATCATTACTCAAGGGGGCGTCATACCTCAAATGATCTCAAGTGATTCTACAGGTTGTAGCTCTTGAACTAATGCATGCCTACGCAACTTTTTGCGGGTCATATTTTCGGGACATATGATATTAAGTCATATTTAAGTCATATTACTACCATCAGAATGATATGGCGTGATACAAGACGTTAAGAGAAAAAAAAGGGACAACCATGATCCCCTGCTCTAAAAGAAGCTCTTGTGTTAGTGGCACATGTCTGGCTGCCATTATATCCTCTCTTTTTTCAAATTGTTATCCTCTTTAAAAAAAAAATCCTACAAAATTGGGTCAACTATAGTGGACCACGACAAAAAAGGGGAAATTTGGGGTCTCAACCTTCTTGCCCCGACAAAGCCTTCTTAACATCTTTTCTTAGATAGGTATTCACTCGGTCATCGGTGCCGTATATACAATGTAGCGCCATGTTCGGTGAGAACTTCGACGCCGGTGTGACGCGGCCGAGCGATTCGGCTAGACTGCGGGTAAGATGCGGTGAGTTACCGCAGCAAAGGCCGACGTAGTTGATGCCGAGCTCCTCGCATTTGCGACCGAACTTGGCGATGTCGTCTCGGGAACAGAGCAGGCAGTCGAGGTTGAGCGGGAACGCGATCTCATCTGAAGAGGAAATAAATAACATTCTTTAAGAAGGAACTAATGTCTTGGCCACGTCCTTCGTTTGGTGTATTGATGACTTCTGATGTATTGGTGTATTAAAATCATGTCTATATTGCACTTGATCAGGCCTAAGGGGATTTGTATAGTTGTTATATCATTGACATGAATCATGAATTCATTCTTCATGACCGTCTGATTAAAGTTTTAAAAGCTGCTAAAGGTCGTCTAATAAAATTGTCTGGTATTTGTTGTGGTGTAGTGGTGTATGAAATGAAAAAGAATGCAAGTCAATGCAAATGTTATCGCATTATCTATAAACTAAGTCGTATGAGGGCGCTGTCATGCTGCTGGCCCATACTTTTTTGTCTGCTCCTCTTAAAGATAAACTCCAGTACTGGTAAAAAAAAAAAATTAATTCTCACAGAATCAAACGAAACTTACACTGAATGTTCAAGATTACAAATAAATGACATGTGCCAAACAATTTTGGAAGAAAATGTATACTGGCTGAGTAATGAGCATAGAAAGACAAGGAAACCAAGGTAGTACCATCCCCGACACGATGTGTGTTGTCCCATATATAGCTTTCTATGTGAGTGTTTGTTACTTTACCAAGACTCGGTCAAATTTATTATGATTTTGATGACTCCAGAACCTTGCAGTGCACACCAATACTTACATGCTACATGATCAACTGTTTCTGATCCTTTCACACCTTTTCTTTCACAATGCAATCGCATTACCAGTACTAAAGTTTAGCTTTAAACATACACTTTTGTTGATATTTATAACAACATTTTGGATTTTCAGTCGAACCAACGTGTATGTCCTGTTGTATTGTCGTCAGTGATCATTGTGAGTAGTTTTATGTTTTGTTTTGCTGAGTGTTCTGACTGTTTTCAACTTTCTTGTTCATCATGCACCGGCGTTCATATATGAACGCCTATACCAAGTACACGTACTACGTACGCCGAGCTGGATCTCTAGCCATAGTTTGTGGACTACTTCTAGTATCTTTTGTGTTGACAACAACAATGCCCACAGAACACAAAGAGATACGCTACAGTGCAAGTGAATTGATGTTATTACGTAATAATGTGTCTACGTCTAGAGTTCAATTACCCCAAGAAGTGTTGATAAACATTGATCGATTAGGAATAGCACGTAATGATCAACACCGCCGCATGAGGGGTAGGAGAGGCGGTTCGCACATGAGAAGACACATTACTATCGTTAAAACAATACCAAGGCGAAAACATCTTCTAATTCCTTCAAGGAAAGCCAATGTTATCCAGTTGGTTCGAAGTGATAGATACAAAGATCACTTTCCATCGATCCTCCTAACAAACATTAGATCGATGAATAATAAACTTGATGAACTTTATGTAACGGTGCAGGTCAATCAAGCTGACTTAGTAGCCGTGACTGAGACATGGTTTTCGGATAGTAACCCTGCGGAAGCCAACGAAATGAAAGGATACAACCTTCTTCACAAGGACCGAGCTGATAAACGTGGTGGAGGTGTAGCTCTGTATGCTAGAAATGATCTCCATGCAACACCTTTTGGAGCAGAGCTTACACCCAAACACCTTGAAATCCTCTGGGCTAAAGCAAGTCTTCGCAGTTACGTCCGGAACTCTGTAAACCTCTTCATTTGTGTTGTTTATGCACCACCTAACACACCTATGAAGGAAGAGATCATCGACCACGTCATATATATGAGCGACTATATTCGTAACTCTTTCTCTGATGCTGCGACTGTGATCCTTGGTGATTTCAATGATCTAGATACAACCCCGTTTGTGCGACATCTCAATGTCGATCAACTTGTCAAGCAGCCTACTAGACAAAACCGGATACTTGATATGATCTTCACTGACAGGGGAGATTTTTACAAGGAACCTCGGATAACGGCCCCCATCGGACGTTCAGATCACTCTACAGTTTTGTTGTTTCCAGAGATTTCTCGTCCTACACTTACGACCAGATTTAGCTATCGTCCCATGCGCGACTCAGGCATCAGATCCTTTGGTCGTTGGATCACTTCTTATGACTTCAGCTACCTGAATGATATGGAGTCATCCGACGATATGGTCCGATCTCTTCAGAATGTTCTAGATCAGGCATATCGTCAACATTTCCCTCTTGTTGTTCGTAAGCGTTCAGCGAACGACAAACAATGGATCAATGACAAGATAAAAACTGACACCCAGAAGAGACAACGAGCCTTTGAAGGGGTGACTTGGTTTCTTTTAGGAGTATTCGCAATCAGATTCAGCGCGCAATTGTGAAACTGAAGTCTACGTTTTATCGCTCAAAGATCGCAGCGATGAAGAATTCAAATCCTGGCTCCTGGCACCGTCAAATACGCTCTCTTGCTGGTTTGAGTAAACGTACTTCCTACAGTTTTCCAGATGACTTCGGCATGAGCCATTCTCAGCAGGCAAATCATATCAACGACTTCTTTGCAGGTATATGCTCTGAACTACCTGCCCTTGATACCACGACTAGCCCGGCCTACCTACCTGCCAGAAGACCACCACCCGACATTCAACGCTTCAGGGTCTTTCAAGCGCTGAAGAAGCTAAATCCATCTAAAGCTATCCATCCTGAAGATACTCCTGTTCGACTGATCAGAGAATTCGCCCTAGAGCTCTCTGCTCCGTTATCTGCCATCTTCAATTCCATTCTAAAGTCGGGTTCTTTCCCATCGCGTTGGAAATGTTCCGTTGTAACACCGGTACCTAAAACCTACCCAGTTAGAAGCTGTTCCGACTTGAGACCCATATCGATAACTCCGATATTTTCACAAGTGTTTGAAGGTTTCATTTCACTGTATCTGATGAGAGACCTCACACCCCATCTTGACAATCGTCAGTTTGGCAACATTAAAGGCAGTTCAACAACCCACTACTTGGTGAGCTTAGTGGATACAATCCTCAAGGGATTAGATAGGCCTGGCTACTGTGCGTCCCTTTGCACGATAGATTTTTCTAAAGCCTTCGATCGTGTCAACCACAATATAGTGATTCGCAAACTCTTCACGTATGGTGTCAATGAAGCAGTTCTTCAGACCGCGACCAGCTTCTTAACTGATCGCACCCAGGCTGTTAGAGTTGGCTCTTGTATCTCCGAGGAAAGGCATTTAACGTGCGGAGTTCCGCAGGGAACAAAACTAGGCCCGTTGATGTTCCTAGCTCTGGTGAATGATGCCGCACATGATATCGAGCATCATTGGAAATATGTTGACGACCTAAGCCTTCTCGAGATTCGCACGACATCGGCACCACCGAAACTACAGGACCATCTTGACGAATTAGAAAATTGGAGTAAAGACAATGACATGAAATTCAATACCACCAAGAGCAATGCCATGTCTGTCAACTTCACGAAACGTAACATCAACACTCCTTGTTTGCGTCTCAATGATGAGCCTCTGAAAACAACGGAATCCCAGAAAATACTGGGCGTGCACTTACAATCCAATCTCAAGTGGGACAAACAAGTTGGTGATATAGTATCAAGAGCGGGAAAGCGAGTATTTATGATAAGTCGTCTTCGAAAGGCATCCGTCCCAATTTGTGACCTAGTCAACATCTACTCATCCTACATACGTCCTCTTTTGGAGTATTCATCTCCCCTTTGGTCCCCAAGCATCACTGCAAATCAGTACAATGATATTGAGAAAATCCAGAAACGTGTCTGCCGCATCATTATGAAGGACCAGTATGTCTCTTACGACCATGCTCTAGAGCACCTCTCCATCTGTCGTATGTCGGAGCGTCATGAACAACTACTGGATTCCTTTGCCCGTAGTCTGTTGAAATCTCCCCGGCACCGTGATCTTCTCCCTCCCTTACGTAGTGATATGTCCTCTCGTCGCCTACGCTCTTCACATCTTCTCAACACCCCCCTCTGTCGGACTACCCGGTATTATTCCTCAACGATACCCACTATTGTTAGACTGCTTAATTCACCTTAAATCTTTGAACTAAAACTAACAAAGATCGAGTCATCAAAACAATGTATTTGATTATTTTCCCACATGCATTTTCATCTACTGATTGCTACTTTCGTATCTCTTCTTCTATGTGCAATATCAATTAATAACAGAACTTGAGAATTTTTCAATCAATGTGAAGTAGCCTATTTACTTGTTAATATTTATCTTTGTCGATGTCAACATTTCATCTTTATCATTACTATATTTAATTCTTTCAAGGTTTCTTCACTTTATACTCTCTGATGTAATATCAATTTGCCAATTTCGCTGAATTCAGGACCATCACTTTGTTAATATTTATCTTTGTCGATGTCAACATTACATCTTTATAATCACTATATTTAATTCATTCAAGGTTTCTTCACTTTATACTCTCTGATGTAATATTAATTTGCCAATTTCGCTTAATTCAGAAACATCACCTTGCAACCAATATTGAAACTTAGCTTCAATATCTTATCTTTTATCGTATTTTATCTGTATAAACATCTAAATGTTATCCCACCTACGTATCACTGTTGCAATAAACCTGTAAATTGTTAATTATCAATTTTCTATCTCATGTAAAACGAATGACAATTTTATATCATCAATGAAACTGTAAATCGTATTTAAATATACACAATATTTGATAAGTGTTCTATATATTTCAATGTGTTATCAATGCAATGTTATACCATGTACTTTTTACTCTGTAAATTGAACCATTTCAGCTTTTAGCTGCATGTCCAATGATTTTTATCTCAATAAACCAATACAATACAATACAATAAAAACTTATATATATATATATATATATATATATATATGTATATATTTCAGGTACGGTATCGAATTATTTTTCAATGTGTATAGGTTTGTAGGGCAAAAAAATAACGGACTGTCGTTAAAGTAGTTTCACCTGTGGTAGGGTCTTTGAGTGCGTGAAAGTTGGGCATTTCTTCAGTTGTTCGGTATGTTACGGGAACAGCTGCAATGGGAGTCTGTGAAAAAAGAAAAGAAAATACTTTAAGGTACAAAAAGCACTGGAATCGCCATAGGGTCATGGTGATCAGCATTACCCCATAACAAATAATTATAATGATATTGGACTCGTCATTATTTACCGAATCAACATACCAATACCGGGATAGTCACGCTTTAATTCATCACTACCATCTCTTCCCCCCCCCCTCCCCCACCCTCCCGCCACAAACTTCTTCCAGCCTCTCCGTTATGATGATGAACAACTGAACTACCATCATGATAAATGAAAAAGCACCACAAAAGAGTTGCAAACATCTAACGGCAACCGCCCCGGCCTCAATATGGCATTCATTAAACAAAACAGAAAATTAGAATGATCCCCCATAATAATAATGTGTATTTTAATAAATAATTTGTTTTTCTTCGATTTTAACAAAATTGTTAGTTGTTTTGAGGGGGGTTGTCAGATTTGCTTCGGAGTTGTGCCCCCCCCCCCCCTCCCCCTTGACGGAATCCTGGGCCTTTCCCTGGATTCATGTCAAGATTTTTAAGACTTCAAATTGCCGTTCATTGTGAATATTCTTTAGGTTTTACAGACGTGTAGTAATTAGATACGAATTGATATGAATAACACTAACCTTAAAACCGGCACTCTTTATTTTTTCGAGGAGCTGCAACATGGTCGCTGGTCCCCTGGAGCAGTTGAGTCCCATCACATCGGCTCCAGCCGCCTCCAGCCGCCTGAAGCATTCTATCAGGTCTACTCCATCTAGCGAAGACAGGCTCATCTGGCAGGCAGCGAGTGTGATGACTGCCGGTAGGCCTAGAATGTGTAAACAAAAACTATCGATGGTAAATTTGATCGCTATGATTTGTTTCCAGTGTCCCTATTTTCCTTCAAAGGGACTTGGCCACGTTGTTCAGATGAGAGAAAATGGTGCTAAGGTAGTGACTTCAATGCTAGATGTACAATAAAGATAATCTGAAAGTTTGAGTGAAATCGGACAATTATTGATGATAAAAATTATTCTGATAGATTTTTGAATTCTCCCAACTATAATATTATAATTCAATTTAACATTTTAGGTGAATGTAAATTGTCACAAAGCACTGAATTTGCTTTATATACCATTCCAAACATTTAAATGTTGAAAGATTTTTATAAGCCTGTTTTATGTCTTATTTTCATGGGAAAACGGTTGGGACAGTTTACTATTAGAGGGTGTTGCACAGAGACGCCTTCAAAGCAAACCATAAATATCTTTGTGGTTTGAGAATTTTGTTCAGGATTCTTTGTATGTTAGAGGGTTTGTGCAGTAGAAGGAATATAATAAGTAAAATTTCATACAGTTTTTTCATTAACCTTCAACAATGTTACCGATTCACTTTAAAGAGAACGCCATCCCTCACTTTTTCATCCCAACTGTGAATACAAAACGAACGAAACGTCATAGTATGCCATTCAAGTTGCTACATTCTTGACTTCGAGAATGACATTTACACACTACAATGTCATTGATAATTCTGAAGTGACCGAAGTTTAACCCCTCCTCTCTCTCTCTCTCTCTCTCTCTCTCTCTCTCTCTCTCAATTCCGCCAAACAGACTTATGTTTAATGTCCAAACAAAAGATAGATAAGGCGGGTTCAAGCATGGAGTATACTTAGGTCCAATGTTCAAGAACCGTTCTATATTTCAGATAAAGATCTATGGCGGATTCATTTTATAACCAGAAAACACACCTACTTTGATATATATTTAGTTACATGTAATGGCGTTTAATGATCTATTTTGTAATTTATCTAACAATTATAGTAACTCAAAAATACATGTTGGAAAAGTCTGGTTTAAACACTAGCGGAAATAAGAAAAAGGCAACAGAGGGGTGGAGTACGAGAGGGGAAGAGGGGAAGAAGAGAAGAGGGAGAAAGGAAAGACCGAGGGAATGGATGGTGACAGAGGGAGAGAGAGAGGGAGGAGAAAGAAAGAGATAGAGATAAAAAAAAAAATAATAATAATAATAGAGAAAGGAGGGGAGGGGATAGCCGAAAGAAGAGGTAAGCGAGTACATTACTGAGAGTGAAAGAGAAGGGAGAGGGGGCTAAGAGAAGAAAGAATTTGAGGTAGAAAACGTTTATAGTCGTAAAGAGAGAACAGAAAAACAGTGGTTATTCAATAGCACTGTCCATCTCCTTCTTAGTCTTACCGCTTCCAAATTCTTTAATGGCCTCCAAGGCAATCATGGCTTCCTCCAAGATACCAAAAGTCTCTGCTACGATGAAGTCCGCCCCCTCTTCCACAGCCCATAATACTTGCTCCTACCAGGAGAGAAGAGCGAGTGGAAGCGGGAGAAAGAAAAAGAGGATAAACATAGGATGGCAGAAAGAGACAGAAGACGACAGAGAAGGAAAGCGGAATTGTATGCAAAATTTAGAGGCGGGATGGATGGGGAAAAGACGAAAATAGAAATTAAGACGAAGTGGAGACAAATTACTCAAAGAGACAGTTTGTGAAAGAAATAACATATATAGAGCTTATATTAAGTATTACTGTACATAAGGCCTACGAAACCATAATTATATTTCCATCGATGAAATGAATGTACAGTAATATTTTGTTTCTAGATCGAACACAGTTTGATGTTGTAATAATCATAGTATATACAGGACGATCGCAGCTACTTTCGAAATACGCTAATACCAACCTAAGGCAATTTCAAAGGCCTTTTACGTCACCATTTGACATGTGCGAATATTACAATGACATATTACGTAACCGGAACATGATTTGTACAGGTCTATAGAACATACAAGAGGATAATTATTCAAGTTGCCCTTGAGTTGATTTTTCGAAAGTAGTTTCCATCGTATTAAACATCGCAAAGAAACTATTTTGCCCATTTGCTTTTGTCTAGTCGACCAGCCAGAGGGGCGTCATGACAATATAATGATGGGAGAATGTTGAGACATTATAAAATCTTGATCCAGTAAAGAGGTCCCCTCCCCCTTTCACCTCAGCGATTGTCAACCCTGATAAAAACTCTGTATGACCAAGAAGTTACTAGCTAGTAACTTCTTGGTATGACGAAGGACCTCATTAAAACGCCGTTTACGGGGCATATGATTACGTAGTACAATTTACAAAATTATCATTTGAAAAAAGAAAGAAAAAAAAATTATTTTTTTTTAACTGAAGGGTAAACCTACTTTGAACATATTTTTGACTGTCTCCCTGCAACTAGGAACCTTAGGATCGAAAGCGTTGGTATTGCAGATATCACCAGCGACCAGGGTACCGGTCTTATCGGCGACCTCTCGGGCAAGTCGTAGGGCAGTACGGTTCATCGCTTCGATGTCTTTCTCACGATCGATGAGCGCGAGTTTCTCACGATGGGCGTAATACTGAAATACATGAATATAGATATTTCAGATAATTTTTTACTTAAACTCATTTGCACATTTTATTTTGAACGAGATTATGTTGCCATAGGTCATACATGCTCCTGCTACTATTTATCCGCGACAATTTCCTATACACTCTAGCTTATGCTACGGTCACAAATGTTCGTACGAACGATATTTTCGTACGAATCTCTCTGTTTTTCCATTGTCTTCCCGAATTTCCATTGTCTGAAAATCATTCGTACGGCGTTCGTAGCAGTTCGTAATGGCATTTGTGACCGAGGCTTTACCTACAATTCTAAACTCTGACCCTCTTACATATTTTCTATTTCTCTCTCTCACTCTCTCTCTCTCTCTCTCTTTCTTTTTATCTCTCCCTCCCCCCCCCCTCTCTCTCTCTCTCTCTCTCTCTCATATATACACAGTCAAACCTGTATATAGCGACCGCCCAAGGGAAACACAAAAAGTGGTCTTTGAAGACAGGTGGTCTTTGTAGACAGGTTCCGCTAATACATGTATCAATGAGAAATTATTTTCAAGGGAAACAAAAAATGTGTTCGTCGTCTTTGTAGACATGTGGTCACTAGGGTCACTAGTTTGACTGTAAATAATATCTCTGTATTTTTGCAAAGCTAATTCATCTCCTTCCGTCAAAACATCCAGGTCAGGGTTATAAGTCCTCGTCCACTTCCGCGATGTTACAACATAATATAGAAACTAAGAACGATGAAAACTTCATGGAAGAAGTAATACCGTGAAAGCCATGACGACATCGCTGCCTGCTTTGACGAACTCCTCATAGGTTTGCTTGACGAACTCGGGATGGTCGAGAACGACCTCGGGTACGAACGGACCAGCTTTTACGTAGCACCGCCTCTCGAAGAGGAAGATGTACCCCTCAGCGCAAATCACCTTCTCACCCGCCCGTAGGCGCTCCATTAATCCTTAAATGATGGCACAAAAAAACAAGAGTAGATATGTTTTCATGGATTAAAACATAATGTAACACTCGCTAATTTAGGGAAATAGGGAGCAGTGTCTTGGATCACATAAAGAGAAAATATTAAAAATCATATCCCTGATGTTTTTTTTTTTGCAATGCGGGTATATATAGCAATTTGTATTTTTTTTCGTTTTGAGGTTGACCTTTGGCTTTGTAGGTGCCCCTTTGTTTAATCGCCTTTTATCTCGATGCCCCCCCCCCCCTCCCCACTCTGAAAACACTCCGTTGTCCCTGATTATAAGACGATACTTTACCAAATGTAATGGTTTAATACAATATTTGCTATCTTATAAGACAGGGCCCTAATAATAAATGAGTTGGACTGTACGGGGGGGGAATCTTGCATGCATTCGTGTTCAGTTTTCAAATAAAAATAGATTCTTCTAATAATCAGCCCCTTATCAATATTTTACGGGCTACATAAAAATATATGCGTGATATAGCGTAACAAAGTGGTTGGCGAGATCCACTAATACACCTTTTGTTTTACTTTGTCTTGACTTTTCTGCAATCAACTCTGAAGTGAGGCAAGTCAATTTAAGCGTGATAAATTAATTCATTTTATTATCGGTCTTTTGAATAGCTATTAAAGTTAATGCGTTCTTCACGCGTTTAAAGCAGCCGTTATCACAAAATATGATTTCTCACTACGTACGAAGAGTTAAAACTAAATGGGCATGTGCCATGTTCTTCACATTCTAATGGGTACATTTTGAAATTCTAATCATCGAATCGCCTTCACAATGAAATGACCTAATTAACGGGGTGGTTGTTCTCATTATTTAAAAGTGAGTACTTCATTCTCAGATTTCAGATTTTTCATCCAAAGTTTTCATTTTTGTATAACCGATTAATGTTCTATAGTATTTAGTTAAAAATTTAAAAGCCCGAATCATTCGATATAGCGCACTATAAACCTCGATATGCCAAGCCTATGGGCCGATACAAATATTTTGTAATATTTAGGTGAAGGGATCATAAGCACCAAGCAATACGCTCACAGAAATGATAACCAAAATTAAGGTCAAAGGTGTGTGCGCAAGCATAATTGTTTTGTACTGTATGTCGTATATACAGCAGTTACTGCACACATATGGTTTTCGGTCTCGAGTGCATTTCATACTCGATGGTCTTTTATTTGGTCGACTGGGCTAGCGCTGTACTCGTTATACTGGGCCTGTCCACTACTGTAACGTAATACTACACTGTACATTATGCTAACAACTACACATCAATATTATTATACTCTCAGCGTGTAACTTACCTTTGACTTTCCTGGACATACTGCACTTTTATAGCCGTGTGTTCGTAGTCGCTTGCTTGAATGAATTAGTATGAATAACTCGCATCGAACCGCACCAGGCAATGTTAATGGGCTATTAATCTTGACCAAGGTCTAACTCTGATTAGTACTTATTTTGGATTGGACAAATATATATCCGCAGGTCAGTAATCAAGACCTTGGTAAGGATTAATAGCCCATTAAGCAGAAGAAGGCATGGAAGGGGGGCTTTCATCGAAAGGGTGCGGTGCGGCGCGGTGTGGTGTGCTCAACGCACCCATTCGATAAAAGAGGGGGGGGGGGGGTTTCTCGAAAGGGTGCGTTGAGAGCGGAATACCGTTTTAACACACCCTTTCGATAAAAGCGGGGGGGGGGCTTTTCTCGAAAGGGTGCGTCGACTAGTCTTTCGCATCAGTCGTTTAAAATGAGGATCTGGGACAGAAGGTAATAGTTGCCAATTTAAGTATATCGAAAATGTATTAAATAAAATGGAATGGTCTTGATTACAGAGTGGTCTCTTTCGTTATTACTATGTTGATGGGGGAGACAGAAAGAAGGAAAAAAGGGAAAGGGAAAGGGAAGATAAAGGAAAGAAAGAAGAATAAGAAGAAAAGAGGGAAACAGGGGGGGCGAAGGGCTCTTGCTTCCTCGTCTTCCCTCCCCCGCCAAAAAATAAATAGAAGGGAAAGGGAAAGGGAAAGAAAATATAAAAGGGAAGAAAGAAGAGGAAGAAGGAAAGAGGGAAACGGGGAAGGGCGAAAGGCTCTTACTTACCCCCCCCCCCCCTCCCGCCAAAGAAATAAATAAGAGAGAGAAGGGAGAGGGAAAGAAAATCTAAAAGGAAAGAAAGAAGAGGAAAAATAATAAGAAGAAAAGAGGGAAATGGGGGCGAAGGGCTCTTGCCCCCCCCCCCCCCGCCAAAAAATAAATAAGAGAGAGAGAGAGAGAGAGAGAGAGAGAGATTGGAAAGCGAAAGGGAAAGAGAAGATAAAAGGAAAGAAAGAAGAGGAAAAAGGAAAGAAGAAAAGTTGGAAACGGGGGCGAAGGGCTCTTGCCCTCCCCCCCCCCCCGCCAAAAATAAATAAGAGAGAGAGAGAGAGAGAGAGAGAGAGAGAGAGAGAGAAGGGAGAGGGAAAGAAAATATAAACGGAAAGAAAGAAGAGGAAAAAGAATAAGAAAAGAGGGAAACGGGGGCGAAGGGCTCTTGCCTCCTCCCTCCCCCCTCCGCCAAAAAATAAATAAGGGAGAGAGAGAGAGAGAGAAGGAAAGGAAAAGAGAAGTAATAAGGAAAGAAATAAGAGAAAAAAGCATTTGTGTCCTGCCAGTGTCACAAATAGATATAAAAATATGCTCATCTGACGATAATTTGATGTATAAAACCCCTTACCTTCTTGGGGCTCAGCCCCTTGGATCCAACACCAATTTGTGTCCTGCCAGTGTCACAAATAGATATAAAAATATGCTCATCTGACCGTTATTTATTGCCCAAAACCCCTGAGCTTCCGGGGGCTCCACCCCCTTGACCCCACGCCAATTCGTGACCCCTGTGTCACAAATAAGGTATAAAATAATAATAATTTAATGTACAAAACTCCTGAGCTTCTGGGGGCTCCGCCCCCTGGACCCAACACCAAATTGTGTCCTGCCACTGTCACAAATAAGGTATAAAATTATGCTCATCCGACATTAATTTTGATGTTTAATACCCCTGAGCTTCTGAGGGCTCCGCCCTGTGAAGAAAACGTGTAAAAAAACACGTTAATTTACCGTTTTGGGGAGATAGGCCCCCCCCCCTCCCTGGCGTTCAAGGGTGGGGGGAACGATTTTTCAAATTTTCGAGGGCCCCTAAAAAAGATTAGTGCTCTCTAGTAATTTCGCGACTACTCCGGAACCGCGGCAGATATAAAGTTTTTCTTTCATGACTTTTTTCTTTCGAGTCTTACGCATCTTTTGAAACATTTTTTTTGTTGAAAATTGGACGTATAGTTGCGGAGTTACGTGACCTTTTGTTTTTGCATGTCAGCCCTAAAAATCGCTCATTTTTGTGATTTATGTACCAAACATATGGAAATACCATTTATTCTTTTAAAAAAAGAGAAAACATTGGTTATTTGGTCTTGTTTCCAAGTTAATGTGTTTGTTTTTGGGTCAAAATAGTTGAATTGTGGTTAGAAATGAAATAAAACAACAAAAACAATATAATACATAAATACAAATTATCAAAACTAGAGATAACATAGGGATAAACTGGCTCTTCCAACTTTGTTGTCAAATTATTATTATTCTAACGAATATATGTAGTGAAAAAAACGCTTGAATATGAATTATATATGATTTATGGGTAAAAATGTGAATTCTCTGACCTTGTTTGCATAAATTACCATAAATATGCAAATGAGTGAATTTTTCAAAAAATTGAAATTACCATAGTTCTTTATACACTTCACGTGACATTCATGCACATTTTCGCGGCGATCGGCTGTGAAACGGCCGAGATCTTACCCCCCCCCCCCCCACCCTCAAGTCTACTCCAATCACATTGAAAAAGGTATGACTTAAATCATCTCTCTCATCATTATAGCGCTATAGTATTCATGTTTTTAATATTATTTATTATCCTTCCATTAAACAAGTTCATAGAGAAAATAGTTATCTCTCTGCAACATTAAAAAAGAATCTTCATTAATATGTCTTAATTTGTATTGATAGCCTTGTGGTCGCCAACAGTGGCGTGGGTAGGGGCGTCTCCAAAGGGGGGTGTGAGGGTGCGACACCCCCCCCCCCCCACCTGTCAGGATATTGTCGGTAAAATTGCGCTGCCGTCGGGGAAAAAAGAGAAAGGGGGAGGGGAAAAAAGAGAGGGAAAGGAAAAAGAAAAAGAAAGAAAAACGAAAAAGAGGGAGAATAGGAAAGAAAGGACAAGAAAGAAAAAAAAGGAGGCAAGAGCCCTTTGCCCCCGTTTCCCTCTTTTCTTCTTCCTCTTCTTTCTTTCCTTTTATATTTTCTTTCCCTCTCCCTTCCCTCTCCCTCTCTTATTTATTTTTGGCGGGAGGGGGGGGGGAGGTAAGAGCCTTTTGCCCTTCCCCCGTTTCCCTCTTTTCTTATTCATTTTCCTCTTCTTTCTTTCCTTTTATATTTTCTTTCCCTCTCCCTTCCCTCTCCCTCTCTTATTTATTTTTTTGGCGGGGGGGGGGGGGGACGCAAGAGCCCTTCGCCCCCGTTTCCCTCTTTTCTTCTTCTTCTTCTTTCTTTCCTTTTATCTTCTCTTTCCCTTTCCCTTTCCCTTCTCTCTCTATCTCTTATTTATTTTTTGGCGGGGGGTGGGGAGAGAGGAGGCAAGAGCCCTTCGCCCTTCCCCCCGTTTCCCTCTTTTCTTCTTATTCTTCTTTCTTTCCTTTTATCTTCCCTTTCCCTTTCCCTTTTTTTCCTTCTCTCTGTCTCCCCATCAACATAGTAATAACGAAAGAGACCACTCTGTAATCACGACGGCGTAAATATTCATAATTGAATGACACACGCCCTTAAAACTAAAACAACAACAACAACCATTCCATTCTATTTAATACATTTTCGATATACTTAAATTGGCAACTATTACCTTCTGTCCCAGATCCTCATTTTAAACGACTGATGCGAAAGACTAGTCGACGCACCCTTTCGAGAAAAGCTACCCCGCTTTTATCGAAAGGGTGTGTTAAAACGGTGCTCCGCTCTCAACGCACCCTTTCGAGAAAAGCCCCCCCCCCCTCTTTTATCGAATGGGTGCGTTAAGCACACCACACCGCGCCGCACCGCACCGCACCCTTTCGATGAAAACCGGAAAGGGGATGGGGGGCAAAAACTAAGGTATGTGTTCAGTGATTATACATAGTTATACACAATTCTCGTGATTTGGGAGGGCCGTTCGGAGGTACATCTCTTCAATGATTGGAAGATTATTTATATTTCTCTTCCTTTTTTTGGTGTTCGTCATTAACATTCATGTGTCAAGTAAAGCGCATTAAACAATATATTATTGAATGTTACGCAATATAAAAAGCACCTTCTTCATATTTCATTTGCAGGAGTAGAATATAGAATAAAAGTTTCCTGAACTATAGACATGAACATCTACGCTAAAACGAGGGATCTTACTGGGCGATACTATATCGAACCCCCCTCCCCCCCCCCCCAAGCTAAAAGAGCCTTTATAATATATTTGGGGGCTTATAAAGGAAGGGAGCGAGAGAGAAAGAAAGAGAGAATGAGAAGGAGAGAGATAGGGAAAGAGAGAGAGAGAGAGAGAGAGAGAAAGGGAGACTGAAGACGTCTGAATGGAAGGAATTATATAATCAGTCAAGTTCAAGTTCAAGTTCAAGTTTTATTTCCACATGTGGTTCATAAAAAACAACAAGTATACATACATGTTCAGACGTATAAAAATACACAATTAACAAACAATAATATTAAGAGAAACAAAAAGCGAACAAAATCTAAGAACAACTAAATACATGTAGATATAAAAAAAACATGTGGGGGACCAACAAAGGCCAGGGGCCTGTCGAGGCTAATCCCCAGAACAATATTAGATTTTTTGGATATTTTATATATAAAAACAAATAAAAAACAAAAACAAACCAAAAACCCACAAACAATAGCGTCGTAAAGTACATGATAAAACAAAATTAAGTTGGCAAATTAAACAGGCAAACAAAAAAATTATATTGTACCACTATAAGTTTGTGAATTGTTTTTATGTAAAATATACAGTTTAAATTTACGTTTAAAATTAGAAAGTGTCGGACTGTTCTTAATCTCTACTGGTATTGAATTCCAGGATTTTACACCAGTGTAAGAAATTGTTGTTTGAGAGAAACTATATTTATATAACGGTAATCTTAAGTGATTTGAATTTCTGGTACTATGGCTATGAATTGTACAATTTGAAGTCAAATAATTATTAAAACTATCTGGTAAAATGTTCTTAAATAGGAGTACATAAAAATTGCAATTTGCAAACTACACATTTGATCCACTTTTAAAATACTCAACTGCTGAAATAAAGGGGTTGTGTGGGCAAGAGGTTGTGAATTGCAAATAACACGTATTGCACGCTTCTGGAGTACTCCAATTCTATTTCTAAGATACAATGCACTGTTACCCCATACAATATTGCAATATGATA